TGTCAACTTCCCCCTGAGGCGCTCAGTCGCCAGCTCAGGGCTCGAGTTGCTTTCTTTCGTCATTATGCGGCGTAAGTACCAGGTAGGAGTTATCTGGATTCCGGATATCTCAAGGAAAAATAATAGGTAAGTTTTATTGGTAGGTAAAACTCTCTATTATTTGTTCCGTCATCGATATCCGGAATCCATCTTGAGTGAAATGTTTGATTTCTCCTGGTACAAATTTATATTGATGCTATAATGTGTAATATTAGATAAGGTATGTGAAAATTACTTAATACATATGTTTAGCAGAAACCATATAGGTAAAAATAAAATATTTTGAGACAAGGAAAAAATTGCATTAATTGTAGTAATTAAATAAATCTATGTTAATGTGATCCAAATGTATAATATAATCAGATCCATTATACCGATTTGAAATATTTTGACAAGGAAACTTTTAAGTTACTTGTCTCCTTTCCCATGTCTTTAATCTGCCTGTGATAATAGGTCCTAAAAGTATGTTCTTGCTTCCAATTGCCAGTAGAGAGTATCTGGTCCATAGTGTAATTCTCTATCCAATTTAATGAGATTAATAATTCTTTCCAGTCTCCTTCACAACGTCGCTGCACCGATACTTTCAATAATATACGAATCCAATATAAAATATTTAAATTTAATTCCGGATGTGGCTCGAAACGCCAGCCCGACTGCCTATGTTCAGCCGTATCTGTTTTCGAACCAAAATCAGGCCACAAAATCAAAGAATCTCCTTCGTCTATTAGGTGCTCCGGTCCGATTCTAAGGAGGGTGAGGTCATGTACTCGCCGACCCGATGCAAGCAAAAGCAAAATTGAGACTCTCTTCGAAACTTGATATAAATTGCGTTCATCTGGATTTTCAGAAACAAGATAATCTAAAACAATTTTAGGATTCCAAATAGGCGGTTTAGGATTTTTAAGTCTTGCAACTGAAATAGCTTTTAAAGTTTGCCTGACTAAAAAATTTGATGATACACCTTATCTAACAATAGATTTTGCAAGCGTGGAAATAGCAGATTTATGAACTAATATTGTTCGATATGCTAGGCTTTCAGTATTATGGAGATAAGCCAAATACCTGGCGACTACCGACGGCTCTGCACGTGTAAAGTCAACAGACTGCTGTGAACACCAACTCTTCCACTTGCTCCACGCTACCATGTAGGTTTTCATCGTAGATTTCCTCCAGCTACTTAGTAATAAGGTTTTTTCTTCCGCTGTCCAATCTGCTACCAGTTCCGCCCACCTTGTATCAGCCATGCCTCCAAGGATATGTTGCGAATATCCGGGGGATGGCGTCCTGTTCTCGTATCTATCAACACCCGTGGCAGGTCCTGTATTTGATACGGTGCTAGACTTGTTCTCTGTTGTATGTCTGCTCTCCAAAAGGCTCTTTCCCAGCATGGAGCTATAAGGATGTATTGACCGCTGGCTGTTATGAGATGTGCTAGCACTTGAGGTATCAGATTTGGTGGTGGAAACAACCATCCGAGGTTGTAATTCCATCGTCTGAGAAAGGCATTGTGAGAGAGAGCTTTTTGTCCTCTAGGTCCAAGGAGATATAATGCGGCACTACATGAGCGGTCCTTGAGGCAAACAGGTCTACCTCCGGAGTACCCCACATCTTGAAAATTCTTCTCGTCGCCGCTGGAAGAAGGTGCCATTCTGGGTTCCTCTTGTTGCGAGATAGTGCATCCACCTCCATGTTGTAACGACCTGGAAGGAACTTTGCCGTTAAAATCACATCTTGACTGTCCAAAAGTGCCACGAGCCGACGTGTCAGGTGCAGGAGCTTCTTCGACTTCGTGCCTCCCTCTTTGTTGATGTAAGCCATGACTGTGCAATTGTCTGTCTGCAATAGGACGTGCGAGTTCTTCAATAGATGTTGGTTTTGTAAGATTGCAGCATGAACGGCGTAAAGTTCCTTGTAGTTGACATGCCAAGACTTCTGGGCTTCCGTCCAAAGACCAGACATTTTTATCTGTCCTAGTTGGGCTCCCCATCCTGTCTCGGATGCATCGGTTGTCAGCAGAAACGAAATTGGTTCCGCATGCAGTGGTGACGAACCGGACACTGCTTTCATCCACCATCTCATCTCGACAAGAGCCGGTTCCGGTATCGTGAACTGTCGGCGTGGCTGAGATGTTGGGAGATGCCGACTGTGGTATTGTATTGTGCGGCAATGTAGTCTCCCTCTGCGGACGACGAAAGAGGCAAAACTGAGTCTTCCCATTAGGGACTGGGCCTGTCTGAGAGACCAGTTGCCAAGCGAAATCTGTTTTTGTAATGCCCTGCGTAGCGTTTGGCATTTTGGTTCGGACAGGGATTTGGAATTGGCCAGTGTATCCCAGGTGACGCCTAGATATTCTAGACGTCGGGTCGGAACCAAAACAGATTTGCTGAAGTTGACTTTCCATCCCAGGTGTTGTAGCAGCTGTATTACCAATGCCACCTGTTCCTGAAGAATCTCGAAGGATTGATTGGCCAGCAAGAAATCGTCGAGGTATACCACACAGCGCATGTTTTGTTTCCTTAGATGTTCTGCGATCCAGTTGGTAACAGTTGCAAAAAGTCCCGGAGCTGACGACAGTCCGAATGGAAGACAGGTCATTTGGTACAGCGTCCCATTGTAACTGGCTCTGAGGAATCTGCGATGCTGAGGGTGTATTGGTAGATGATAGTAAGCCTGGCTTTTATCCAGTTTCACCATCCAGTCCTTTTCCTGCAAAAATGTGGGTACACGAAAGTGGCTGAACAGACGGAATCTCCGAATTTTCACAAAGCTGTTTAATTGCCTCAGGTTGAAAATTGGGCGATAAGTCCCATCTTGCTTGGGAATTAGGAAAAACTGTGATAAATAACTGGGAGATATCTCCGCTTCTTCGAGAATTTGGTCTCGAACCATATCCTTTATCTGTTGCGACATTAGAATTGATTTGTTCGTGGCATACTTCGAAAGGACTATGTTGCTCGGGTACAATAGAGGCGGCTTTAGTATAAAAGGGATACGAATCCCACCTAATATTTTGCATATTTCGTTGGGTGCTCCTAGACTGCGCCAAATATGTTGATATTGTACCAGACAACCGCCACGAAAGGGCCGCGAGTCATGCGCGGCGTTGTCGATTCCTGAGTGGAGAGCGGGAGCGAGGTGGCTTAACGTGAGTTTGTCGTTGCTTAACACCGGAACCTTTTCCTTTGCGGATTTTATTCTGCTTAACCTTTTGGTTTCCATAGCTGCGAAAGGTCTTAGTTCTAGACTGGTTAGAAGTTGAAGCAGAATTTTTATATTCGTTCATATTAACTAAACGACCTACAGGAGAATTCGTTTGTGCTGTTGCAGATGTTGTGGCAACTGGTGCCCTCAATAGATTTTCTGCCCCCCCAATTTTGCGTAAATAATCCTCAAGTAGGTGTGCATCAAACAAATGTTCCGAACTTGGGGGTATTTTTCTAAGACTCGCGGCAATGTATTCGTCGGGTATGTGTTTAAGAATGGATTCTCGACGAGAATTAATAAAATCGGCTCTTCTACCACAAGTTATTTGTAATAAATCGTCAGAAATTTTTTGATATTCTGTATCTTTGTTAAACAAACGTTCAATTTTTTCGAAGAGAGTTTGAGGAGTTAATTGAGTCTCTTTTTCTGCCGACCAATTAATTAAGGTTTGTAAAGACAATTGTAATTGCTCTTTTTGATTAAGGAATGCATTCGTCATTGCTGCGAAAGTGCGTTCTAGGAGACAATCCTCTTTATGAAATTGTTCCAAACGCTTCAAATCCTCATTACTTTTTAATTCTATGAACGGGGGTACATAAATATTTTTTCTGAGCCTCAAAGAAGCGTATGTCATTCCATTCGTTTGTTTGGAAATGTTGTAATGCTTCTAGCCTTTTTAAGAAATTTTCTTTCGCTTTCGGATCAAGCGGTTCTTTTATCACTGTCGCATAATCGGATATGCTAAGTTGCGATTTTTCAGTATTAGAAATAGACGGTGGATTCAAAATTATTTGATCTGTTACATTATCCGCCATCACTGTTGTTTTCGATGATACATCTATATTATTAGATGTCTGTGCAGTATTGCTTTGAGAATGCGTAATCAAATTTGTTAAAAAGGCTACTTGTTGTGACAAAAATTCATATTGTAGATCTCCTACCTTACGTTGCCGCTTCCTAGAAGTCCCAGCAATTCCTTCCTCAGCCGATCCTCGCTCCTCACTCTCCGAACTTGAATCCAAAGACGATGTTGAACTAATACATCTCTTTCTATTTTCTTCATCCACTGGATTATTTTCCATCGCAAATTGTAATGCTAAAACACTTTTTAATATTTAAGAAACTTTTAACAAAAGAGAGGGTAATTTTCTATCTATTTATAACTTTAACGTTATAAAAGTTACTACGATATACTAGTCGCTAAGACGTCTGAACACTAGGAAAAACGACGCTATAATGTCGAAAGAAAGCAACTCGAGCCCTGAGCTGGCGACTGAGCGCCTCAGGGGGAAGTTGACACATCGGGCGCTAGGTGGCGCCACTAACATAAGAGAGGGACTCGCTTGACTAGCAAACACAAGGAAAACGGAAGGCTACACTCAAGATGGATTCCGGATATCGATGACGGAACAAATAATATAAAATTGTACAATAGAAACTGATAATTTACATTAAAATACAACAAATTTATTTTACCCAATGGGTAAAAGTGCAACGAAAGTTACCGTCTTTTTATAACTTCTTCTATTTATGTTTTTTTCTGTTACCAAGTAAGTCTACAATTGATTGACAACAGCATGTGAGATGTTCTAATAAAAAAAATAGTTTAAACGCGCTTAAATTAAACTTAATCTATATTTACATCCTCATTTAAATCTTACAATTATTTTTTTCAGTAAAAATATAATATTTTCTTGTGTTTTAATAAGTATGATTTATTTTTAGACGCCGATTGTAATGTCTGAGTTTTTTTATTCTGTCAGATGTCAAAATACGCGCCAAAACAAGTTTGAGTTTGTATTTTGTAGTTAAACTGTTTTAATTTTATTGTTATAACAACGTTAACATTTTTAATATTACCCATTTCATTTAAAAACCCACTATGGAAGGCTTTGATGATCCTGGAGTCTTTTTTTCTGATAACTTCGGTGCCGAGGAAAATGAATCACAAGATCAAATTAACTTACAAGCCGTAAAGAAAAAGTTTAAAGAATTTATTCGACAATATCATACTGGAAATTTTAATTACAAATACAGGTCTGTATATAGCTATCGTTATTTAATGATAGATGACAAGACAATACTTTATTCTGTTTACTTCATTTTTCAGAGATGCTCTCAAACGTAATTATAACCTAAACCAATACTGGGTTGAGATTAACATAGAAGATTTGTCAAGTTTTGATGATGTTTTAGCAGAAAAGTTATATAAGAAACCAACCGAACATTTGCCAGTTTTGGAAGAAGCAGCTAAGGAGGTAAGTTATAAAAAAGATGCTATTTTCTTGATGGTAATAACTCTTACAGTAGTTTCCTATTATCTTGACAGTTCAAAATATCATACAAGTCGCCGCATATACATTTTAGACAACTTCTGGTGTATTAAGACATACATAAATGAAAACAGTGGAGAATATTGCAATGCACAAAAATGGCCTAGGACTAACAAGATAATTGAAGTAACATACCAATATACACAAAATTATATGTTTCAGTTAGCAGATGAGCTGACAGCGCCTCGCCCTGAAGGTGAGGAGAAAGTAGAAGACATACAAGTGTTACTATCCTCCGATGCACATCCATCTAATTTAAGAGAACTTAAGGTAGATTTGAATATCTTACATTTCTTATTAAATATAAATACAAAAGTTTAGATGAATAAAGGGATTTTTGTTAGGGTATCTCTGGAATTATTGGATCTCAATAAAATTTGACACAGAAGTAGAACATAATCAAACAGCGATTTTTTTTATTTGTGCAAGCAAAAGATGGCCTTGCTTGTGCATCTTTATGAGAGATGAATGTAATCTATGGTAATGTTATAAAGAGGAAAGTTTTTGCATGTATTGATATAACTACAAGACCATTTTAAACAATTCTTTCACCACTATAACGCCACATTATCATTGAGTAACATAGGCTATGTTATTTATTTTCACAGGGACAAAGTCGCAAGCAACATCTAGTAATTGACACATGCTATGTAAATGCTAAACAATGAAGAATAATGTTATATTTAAAATTGTTTTTCAGTCTGAAACAGTGTCACGTCTAGTAAAGATACCAGGTATTGTGATATCAACGTCAGCTATAAAAGCAAAGGCAACAAAAATATCAATACAATGTCGCTCCTGTCGCAATATTATACCCAACTTGCCTGTGAAACCTGGACTTGAAGGATATGTTATGCCTAGGAAATGTAATACGTAAGTGAACATTCTAATTGAACATAATTATTTATCAAAAAATGCACTTACTTTTACCATACCCCATATGTTCCCATAAATTTGGGGGTAAACTTTGTTAAAATCATGATATGTAGATACGCCTGCACCCCAGGGCCCTGACTAAAAAATGCGTCAGAGAAACGACAGTATGACAAAAAGCCGCAAAAAATACATTTACGACTTTTTTTTTTAATTCACTAAATTTGTATTTTGTTTTTAATTTGTTTTCAGAGAACAAGCTGGTCGACCAAAATGTCCCTTAGATCCATATTTCATTATACCAGATAAATGTAAATGCATTGACTATCAGGTAAATAATAGTTTTTTTTTTATTTTAATTCCGTACAAACGGGATCACAGGAAACACAGCTTTAGTCAGTATTGTTATTGAGATAGTTGAACTGTGCAGGTGTTGAAGCTGCAAGAGAGTCCGGAAAGCATCCCTCAGGGTGAGATGCCCCGTCACCTGACAGTTTACTGCGAGCGCACACTGTGTGAGCGTGTGTCACCTGGAGCAAGGCTGACCGTGCTGGGCATATACTCTATCAAGAAGATCGCTAAAATAGGAGTGAGTTTGTCATCTAAAATACATCTATCAAACATTATTTTTTTTTTATCCCACAAGGACAGAGTTGAGGGCGAAGAGCTAGTATAAAATAGTTAAGAAAATAACAATTTTATTATTGTAGAAAGAGAACCGTGACAAGGGTTCAGTGGGGGTAAGGTCGTCGTACCTGCGCGCGGTAGGGCTGACGGCGGAGGAGGGCGTCACGGGAGGGCTGCGACCTTTCACAGCTGAAGAGGAGGAACAGTTCCGTCGTCTGGCCGCGGCTCCAGACATATACGAGAGGATCGCCAAGTCCATCGCTCCCAGTGTCTTTGGCGCTGTCGATATGAAGAAAGCTATCGCCTGTTTGTTATTCGGAGGTATGTACAAGGAAATAAATTCACTACCCATTGCTGTAGATGACTAGCATGTATGTGTGCTGCTGTGACATGTTTCAAGCTTTTTTTTATTATTTGTTTTTTAGCTATACAAAATCAACTTAAAACTAGTTTCACACAATAAACGCTAAGTAAATCTCAGTAGTAAAAGCTATAGGCATTTGTACGCGAACTGGCATATCAGTGCCTAGGATAGTAGTAATTTTACTGTTCTTTAGCCCTAATTGCATTGTGAGTTATTTTAACATTGGTAGGAAATAAATATTCTCTACTGTACAACATGTCCACTATAACATATATCATATATAAAGGAAACTTTTTTAAATATTCCAGGGTCCCGTAAAAGATTGCCAGATGGTCTAACTCGGCGTGGGGACATCAACATCCTGTTACTGGGTGACCCCGGCACGGCCAAGTCCCAGCTGCTGAAGTTTGTGGAGAAAGCTGCCCCAGTGGGGGTGTATACTTCGGGCAAGGGCTCCAGTGCAGCAGGACTTACTGCATCCGTTATCAGGGACCCTGGCAGTGTGAGTATTTAGTTAAAAGTAATTACTTCAATATTTACCATACCAGTTGCGTTCAAAGTTACAAGACATGCTTCAAGTGGAAATCCATGTACAGTTTGATCAGTGTGCGTGCTGGAAGCCATTGTAGTGCACTCTACCTTTTCATGCATTACGTACAAGGTTTTTCTTAAGATCCACCTTTTGATGTGAAGAGAAATTAGATTTGGGGCAGAGGTTATACAGAAGTTTTAACAGTGGTAGTGCCCGCTTTAACATCTTATCACGAATGGGCCGGCACGCCCGGTGCAATACCACAACCACACAGAAGACAGGCGTGAAATGGAAGCAATTCCGTGTTTCGTCTGATGGGTATGGTGCCGGAGGCCTAATTTAAGTCCCTTTCTCTTTGCCACCCTTTTCTTAAAGGAGAGGATGGCAACGGGAAGTGGATTTGACGGTCCACCGTCTTCTCCAGGAGATGCATAGGAAGGGGAAATATCTTCTTTATGTGCATCTCCTCCTCCGTCGGATAAGGGTAGGCAACGCATCTGCAATTGCCGATGTCTATGGGCAGCGGTCGCTTCGCCATTTTGGAGGATTCAGGTGGCCGCTTGCTCATTTGCCACCTTGTGATATAAAAAAAAAGTAGGGTAAATACGCCTACAAAAATATACCTTTAATAATAGCCCTTGCTGTACATCTTCCGTTGGTTATTGATAGGTGAGGCAGCTGCATTTGCAGATGTAACTACGGATGTCTGCAACGGTTACTTCGCCATTTTGTCGAATTCCAGTAGCCTGTTATACAAAATCTTACTAACATTATAGATGCGAAAGTTTATATGGATGATTGATAGAGATTGTAGCCTAAACTGTGGAACAGATCTCGATGAAATCTACTTTGTTTCTTTAATTTCACGCGGACGAAATCACGAGTGAACGTTAGTAAAACTATAATCGTACTAATATTATGAATGCGAAAGTTTGGATGGATGGATGGATGATTCATAGAGTTTGTAGCCTAAACCTCAATTTGGTATAGATGTAGCGGGTAGTCTGGAAGAACACATAGGCTACTCACTTTTATTTTCTTTTAATTCCACGCGTACGGAGTCGCGGGCGAAAGCTACTGTCTAAATATTGTTAATATTTCAGCGAAACTTCGTAATGGAGGGTGGTGCGATGGTGCTGGCGGACGGCGGCGTGGTGTGCATCGACGAGTTCGACAAGATGCGTGAGGACGACCGCGTCGCCATACACGAGGCCATGGAGCAGCAGACTATATCCATTGCAAAGGTATACACGTCATATCTTACAGACTAGAAACATCGTACCGTCATTAATTGACTCGCAGGTGATAATTTTGTCTTCTATCGGAGACTTGCTAATCCTGGAATTAGTAAAAAAAATGTAGAAAAGCGTTCCATATTTTATTTATTTACAAGCTGTTGCTGGCGACTTCATCCGCGTGAAATTAAGAAAAAGAATAAAATTATGAGCCTTATGTTACTTTACAGTGGTAGAGCCCGCATCCAGCATTTGCTGGAGCACGAATGGCCCGCTCGCCCGGTGTAATACCACGACCACACGAAGACAGGCGTG